GGAAATCTCTTGTGGCACATTGATGGAAGAACATGGAGAAAAAATACAAGGAGTGAGAGGGCACACCTGGGTTGTAATCTGTACCAATGGAAGTATTCCCTACAGCAGTAAGATCACAGACCCTCTGAAACTGAGTAAATGCATTTTATATTGGGTGATTCATGAATGCACCTCTTTTCCAAACTAATAAGCATAGTGCTTATAAGGCTCTCTCACTATTCCTATAGCACATGCTCTGGAGATACTCTCCCAACCTTCACTTACACTGTCAAGTCAAGTTCCCAGAGGGTGGCTGCTCCATCTCTCCTCAGGGATCTAGAGGTAGTTTTGAGGGCTTGGAAGTCATTCTCTAATGCTATATATAGCTCATGAGTCTCCACCTATGTGGTTACTCATTGATAACAATTAGTCAGCCAGACCTAATTAGCTTTTGGAAAGAGATATTTACTGGCTGGTTGTTGGCCTTTGTTGTCAAAGATGACCAAAAGAACATCACCATGTTAGAGTCAAGTTATAGTGTGTCTGACTGACCAGATGAGCTTGTAAAGCTCTACCACAGATGGGGCACAAATAGGCCATGGGAACATTTGGGATGGATTCTCTAAATCTGCGTATCTCATGTTTCTTTCGAGCTACTTCAATTTTGTTGGAGCACCTGTATTTTCTTGGTGTTGTCAGGCCAAAATTAGCACAAGCAGCAGAGAATCGATCCATACATTGTTGCATGTCAGCTGCACAATCATCTGTGAACAAAAAAATTATGCACCAACTCTCCCTTCATTTTAGTCTTGGATTGCAGCCTTTTCAAGTTAAATAACTTACCATCAGCTGACCTTGGTGCTATGTTCATCCTCATTGAAAATGTCTGACAAAATTGTTGAAAACATCATGCTAAAAAGCATGGGAGTAAGCACACAGCCTTGTTTTACTTTATTGGTGACCGGGAAAGTGTGAGACAATTATCCATCATCCAGAATTCGGGCAAGCATGCCATCATGAAATTGATGTACAATACTGATGAACTTCTCCAGGCAACTGAATTTTGACATAATTTTCCATAAGTCCTCACAACTGACTGCATCACAGGCCTTGGTCAAATTGATGAACATTGTTTACAAACCTCTGTTCTGCTCCTGGCATTTCTTCTGGTGTTGTCAGGCAGCAAACACCTTATTGACTATTCCTTGGCCCTTTCTGAAGCCACACTGGCTCTCAGGTAGATGACCATCTCCTAGGTAAAGGATCAGCATTTTTTTTTTTTGCTTTTTGGTGAGGCAGTTGGGGTTAAGTGACTTGCCCAAGGTCACACAGCTGGTAAGTGCCAAGTGTCTGAGGCTGGATTTGAACTTAGGACCTCCTGACTCCAAGGCTAGTGCTCTATTCACTGGGCTGCCTACCTGCCCCAGGATCAGCCTATCAAAGAGGACTCTGGCAAGAATTTTTCCAGGAATGACTAAGATGGAGACCCCTTGTGATACCCCCTATATTGTTACAGGATAATCTATTTCCTTTACTTTTATAGAGATGGACAATGGAGGCATCCTTGAACTTCTGGGAGATAACCTCCTTTTGCCATATAACATGGAAAATTTCAGTCAGCTTTTGTATGAGCGATGGGCTCCCCACCTTGTAAATCTCAGTTGGAATAGAATCAGCACCAGGTGCTTTGCCACAGGAGAGGAGCCTATTAGCATTGAAAACTTCTTCTTCAGTTGGAAATTTGGCTAGAGAGGGATTTACTTCAACACTGACTGATGATGGTCTGTTGAGAACACTATGGAAGTGTTCAGTCCATCTCTCCAGGATCATGTCCTTATCACTAATCAATGTGGCTCCATCAGTGCTTGGTAGTTGAGATGCATCATAGGTCTTTGGCCCATAAATAGCCTTCAGGGCATCATAAAAGCACTTTGGATTGTTACTATCTGTGTAAAACTGAATTTCATCTGCCTTCTTACTGAGCCAAGAATCCTGCATCTCTCTAAGCTTTGCTTATATTTTACTTTTGATGGAGTTAAATGCTGCCTTCTTAGAGATGGATGAACCATCCTGCTGGTAATCCCTGTGGAGTTCTCATTTTTCATTTAGAAGCTTTTGAATTTCCCCAACATTTTCATCAAAACAGTTTTGATGTTTGTGAGTGTTCTGACCCAAGTAAGTAAATGCAGTGCTATACACCAAATCTCTGAAAGCTACCCACTCCTTTTCTACTCTACTGTTGCCAACCGTATCTTGGCTCAGCTTTCCCTCCAAGTTAGCTATGAACTATTCCAGCTCAGAGGAGCACTCTATTCTGTTGACATTAAGTCTTCTGGTAGTCATCTAGACTTGGGGCCACCACTTCTGTTGAATGTGAATACTTAGCTTGGAGAGGATGTCCATGATCCCTCCAGCACCCTGTGCCACACATTGCCTTTGTCACTCTCACATCTTATCTGTCTCTTCTCCTTACAATAACATAGTCTGGTAAGTACCAATGTTTACTGCGAGGATGCATCCATGAAGTTTTATTGTTTTTAGGTAAATGGAAGACAGTGTTGGTGATGAGAAAGTCATGAGATACGTGAATTTGCTTGTTGTTGTTTCTGATTCCATTCCTCCCAAGGACTCCCTGCCATGTCTGGTTGTCTGTGCCTACTCCAGCATTAAAGTCACCCAGGATTATAAGCTTGTCCTCTTTTTGGCATGATGATGATCTCCAAGTTTTCATAAAAATTTTTCTTTGACATCACCAGGGTTTGTCATGGTGGGAGCATAGGCACTAATGATGGTGACGTACTGCTTTCCTATAAGTGGCCATCGAATTGTCATGAGGCTGTTGTTCACTCCTTTTGGTAGTCAGACAAGCTTGTTGACTAGATTAGTTTTGATTGTAAAATCGGCACCAGCTTCATGGTGCTCCCTTTTACTGAAAAACGAGCATCCAGCTTTGACTTCGGTAAACTGGCCTTTATTTGCCAGTCTTTTTTCAATCGGGGCTATTTGGATGCAATACCTGCTGAGTGCTTTTTGCAACAAAAGCTGTTCATTTTTTCAGGTCTACTGGATTTTGTGTTGTCCATAATTGTGTGCACATTCCAGGTACAGATGATAAGTAGAATCATCTTTGCAGAACTTTTGTGCATTTTTTTGTTTTGACAGCAAGTTGGGTTCCCTGCCTGCCACAGTAAACAGGCCAGAGTTGGGTAAGCAGACACCTTTTCTAGCCCCTTCCTTACACCAAGAGGTGAGCAGTGTGGTCCTTAAAAGGTTACTCAGATACCCAGGGGGCTGCAGAATCCCACTGCCACCTCCAATGAGAAGATGATCCTATGGCCTTGGCTGCCTGTGTGCAGAGTGGTGACTACAGCTCCCAGTGCATCCATACCTGCTGCTTCATCACTTGTCTGTCACCACAGGACTTTGAGATAGGCAAAAATAGTAAAATGGTATAGGTGATGTCTTTTGATTCATTCATAAATTTGATTTAAGTGAGGTAGAGTTACATGAACTGGTTGACCTTTCTTTTCTAGAGTCTTCACAGTCCAGTGGTAAGACAGAGTCAAGACGACTGGTGATGGCTCAAGATGCAGTGGCATCTTCTATGTCTAATCAAGCTCTGAGCGCTCCACAGTGCCTGCTTCAGCTGCCTTCATGGCCATTGGAACAAATTATTTTCATCCACACATTCCACGAGGGGAAGTCTTCACATGCTTGGGGTAGACACCCCCCTTCCCTGTCAACTCACTGAAGTGTTTGAGACTCCTCAATTATCTTCAACCTGGTTTAGCTGAAACATCTGTGGAAACAGTTTCCTGGGGTGTGGCCATGCTACAGCTTCTTGAAGCCACAGGTGAGAACTAGATGGTTGAGGTGGACACCAAAGGTGGAAAGCAGCTCTCACAGCAGAGGTGTTAATTTTCTCTGAACATACTCTCCATCCCACTACACTGCACCAGTGAGGTATAATAAGAATAGCTGCTACAAAATATCCCCCCAAAAGTTTGTGACACACTCTACTACTAGAACACATGCAGGTCCAAAGGAAAGTGGGCTTCAGCTTAAAGAGTACATTTTGCAAAGGAGTAACATAGCTTTCCAACAGTCCTCACAATACTCTCCTCAGGTCCAGCACAGCTTCTCTGCTGTGCTCCTTGTAAAGGCTTTTCCTCAGTTCCTGATGCCAACACTGTGTCAGCTGTTCTGGGGATAATGCTAGGACTAGGGAGCTAACCGGAATGCCCTTACAAGATCCTCCTTTGATCGAAGGGAGGAGGGAGAATCCAAGGTGCTCTCCTGTTTTCAAAGGAATTCTTTCTCAGAAGCTTGGCTTTGGCTTCCACCACTGACCTGCCAGATGCTTGAAGGCTCAAGTTCCAAATTTGCCTGCTGTTTTATAGATGACCCACCGGATGGGAACAAGTTTCCTCAGCCAACGCCAATACACTTCCTGAGCAACATTACACTCTTTTATTCAACAACTTCCAATGACTTCTAAACTTATCATGAACTTGTTGAATTCAGGCTAAAGCTTATTATGGATTCCACAGAGATATCTTAGCCTCGATCCGACCTACTTTATTGATTATTCTTACCTGACAAAAGCATTAGGGCATAGTTTCTTCTCTTTTTAGGTGAGGTGGGAAGAATTGATCTAATCCACCCCCATTCTCACATGCCTATTTCCCAATTGTCAACTTTGGTGCCTCTTCTCTGTTCCTTCTTTGATTCTAATATTTCTCTTAAGCTATGACATAATGAAATGTTCTTGGTGCCATGTGAATTAAAATTTAAAATACAATATTCTGAATTTCCAGTCACTAGCTAAGTTCCTTTGAGATAGGAATGGGTTCCAACTTTTCTGGATCCCAGGAATGATTCTGAACAGAAGCCCATTTGAAGAGAGAGAAAATGGAAGGTAGATGAGAGGTGATTATGAGAGGTGACAGACCACATTGTAAAATAATTCAAATGGTTTACATTTTTAAAATTCCAATTTTGTTAGAATGAATAATACTTACTTGAGGTGTTCTCATAAGATAGTTCTTTTTGAATTCATCAAAGGACATATCTGAAAATTGGTTTAGTCCCACTGAAAGGAAGTTAAAAAAATCAATAAATAAATATCAGAGAAGGAACATTAAAATGCTTTATTCACGTGACCTTTGCTTATTTCTCTTACAATTTTTAGTCTTTCTCTAGACTTTTGAATCCTTTCAATTTTCTGTGTTACTCCTGTACTGAAGTCTTTCAATTTGCATAAGATTAAACTGGTTTTACATAAAAGTAACTTGATTGTAGGTCTTGCAAGCATCAAGTTGGCTTCTCTTCCTCCCCTCTTTCCAAGCCATAGTGACTCAGGTGTATGGCCACTGGTACTGCTTTGGGCTTGCAGTTACACTAGCCTGAGCCTCAAAAAAATCTTGGCCCTCACCCTAGGGAACTCATTCCAACAGTCTGGACAAGAACACTCGCACTGACTGTTACAAATGTTACAAATAGGGTAAAAGCTTTTGGGGACATGTGGGGACAGATTTGGAATCTGAGCAGAGTAGAAGGCCCTTTATTGTTCCGGTCCCAGATGTCTCAATACAATTCTACTAAAACTCCTCTAGACCTACCACACTGGGATTCTGTATCTGGCTATCAGATCACCCAAGTCCCCCCTTTTTGCACATCACTCTTCTAATACTTCAACAATGAATTTAACTAAAAAAAATCATTGCAAAATTCTCCCTCTCCCCCACCTAATACCAAATGTTTGAGGTCAGCTCTAGGCCAGTCCAGTGATTTAGGTTTGTGATTAGAATGCAATAGTATACTTGTGGACCATGAAATAATAGTAAAAAAAAGCTTTAATAGAGTAAATAAAATTAAAAAGGATACAATTCTTAATTAAATTCAAATTCCACATTCCACTTTCACTTCCACATTTTCACATTCACCACAGCAATTAGTAATATATAGTCAGGAAGGTATCCCTACAGGGCAATGGGAATTTTGCTATAAACCCCAAGGCACTAGTTCCCCATAGGCTGGGTCTTTTATGCTTCAGGGGCCAACAAAAGCAAACCAATAATTCATAAGCCACCTGGTCAACTAAATCTCAAGAATGACCACTTTGCCCTTATAGAGGGAAATCAGTCTCGTTTATACATAGCAATATATACATTGTTTCTCTGTGTAGTAGGAACTACCATAGTAGTAGAACTTTAGTAGTTCCTATTGCAAGGAGAAACAGTGTATATGAATATAAATAGATACCACATATAAGATACAAAGTCAATGCCAGAGGGTTGTTACAGTATTATTTTGTACAAACTCATGTTCTCTCAAACTCCTAGTTCATTAACTCCCGTGATCTATACTTTCATTCCTTCTAAGCCACATATGGTTATGATCATACATACACTCGATTTCACCATCACTCTTTTATGTGCTCATCTTCCATTATCCAAAATTCTGAATTTCCTGTCTTTTGACCACAAGCTTTTAACATATCTTTCCTTCTACTTCATTCCTCCTAAATCTATTTTTATTCCCCATCCCAATCTTTGTTCTTTCAAGTTCTACTTGTTTTGGCTTCACTTCCATCCTTTTGCGGTCTTGACCGTAGAGCTAGTCAGTCAATAAACATTTATTAAGTACATTACTATGTGCCAGGCACTGTGCTAAGAAATGGGGACACAGAGGGCTGGCTGGTCAACTATGCACTGCCCCTTTGTCTTGACTCCCTTGTTCTTTTCTCCTGTAATTTCTCATGCTTTGCTAAGTCTCTTCCCTGGGTTTTTGCCATCACTTGCTTTCTCTTTTCTTCACCATATGCTGCTAAGCACTATTGGAAGAAGTCATATAGCTCTGCTGACTGGATCCACTACAAGTGTGTGTTATCCAAACTTGACTGGTTCCTCACTGCTGCTGGGTAAATCTTATTCTTCTCTGATTGACCCAGTAGCAGTGAGGAACCAGTCAAGTTTAGATAACACACACTTGTAGTGGATCCAGTCAGCAGAGTTGTATGACTTCTTCTAGTAGTGCTCAGCAGTATATGATTAAAAGCCTGAAAGGCTGAAGATTGGGATGAGGAATAAAACTAGGTTTTGGAGGAATGAAGTAGAGGGAAAGATGCGTTGTTAGGAGCTTATGGTCAGAGAGAGGAAATTCAGAATTCTGGGTAATGAAAGATGAACGCATCAATGGATGGTGTTGAAATCAAGTGTATGTATGATCATAACCATGGATGGCTGAGGAGGAAAGTGTAGATCATGGGAGTTAAGGACCTGGGAGCTTGAGAGAATATCACCTTGTTCTTGTCCAGACTGTTAGAATGAGTTCTCAAAGGTGAGGGCCACGATTGTCTTGAGGTTCAGGCTGCTATAGCTGCAAGTCCACAGGGACACCAGAGGCCATATGCCTGAGTCACTATGGCTTGGAAAGGGGAGGAAGAGATGGCAGCTACATAAGGGGATGCTCGCAAGACCTGTAACCAAGTTACTATTATGCAATCTAGGTTGCTCTCATGCAAATTAAAGTAATTCAGTATATGAGTAACAGAAAATTGGAAGGGTTCAAAAGTTCAGAAAAAGGTTGAAAATTGTGAGAGAAATAAGCAAAGGTCATGTGAATAAGGCATTTTATTGTTCCTTCTCCGCTATTTGTTTGTTAATTTTTTTTTTTTTTGGAAATTTCCTTTCAGGGAAACTGGACCAATTTTCAAATACATCCTTTGATGAATTCAAAAAGAATTATCTTATGGGAATACATCAAGTAAGTGCTATTCATTCTAACAAAATTGGGATTTTAAAAATGTAAACCATTTGAATTATTTTACAATGTGGTCTGTCTCTTCTCATCTACCTTCCATTTTTTTCTCTCATAAAATGGGCTTCTGTTCACACAATTGCTGCCCCAAATTATTTCCCCTCTTCTTGAAATCCTAAATCCATTTCTTCTCTCTTCCCTCCACTCCTTGCTCTTATAGATGATTATTCTCCTTCACTGCTGAAATTAAGGTCATCTAAAAGAACTTAACTTCTTTTACTCTCTCCCTTTTTTTCCTAAGCCAATCTGGGTTAAGTGACTTGCCCAAGGTGACACAGCTAGTAAGTATTAAGAATTGAAGGTCAGATCTGAACTCAGGTCCTCTTGACTCCAGGGCCAGTGCTCTTATCCCCTGTGCCACCTAGCTGCCCTCACTTCTCTTAATCTCTTTATGCTGTCATTCATGCTTCTGTTCTTCCCTCCAGTCTGAATTGGTTCTCCTTGGCAAAGCAAATCCTGCAGCTGTATTTCCAATCCCAATACTTCTTCTGCCATCTCCCCCCTTAACCTTGCTTCACCAAGGAAAGAAGGAAAGAAGCATTTGTTAAGTACCAACCATGTGCCAGGCACTGTGCTTAGTTCTTATCCTCACAACAACCCTGGGAAGTAGGTACTATTATTATCCCCATCTTATAGTTGAGAACACTGAGGCAGAGGTGAAGTGACTTGTCCAGGGTCACACAGCTAGGAAGTTTCTAAGGCCAGATTTACACTTGGATCTTCCTGACTCCAGGCCCAGCACTGTATCCACTGCACCCCTGGCTGCCTCTGATAATCCTCTCTTCATTTATCTTCAAGCTCTTTTTTTTAAAGTTGAGCTTTGTGGTTTTCTAAGCTTTCCCAATTCTTGCTCAGTTTCTGTGCTCCTGTCATATATCAACCTGGGATGAATTTCTTAACCCATACAAATTAAACTCATTAACTTGCCCAAACCTGCCTCTCTGTCATCTTTTATTTTTCTGTTGGTGGTACTACGATCTTATCAATCACTCAGGCTTGTAACCTAGGAGCCTTAGAATTGGAAAAGCATGTATTAAGTGCTTACTTTGTGCTAGATACAGTAAATGCTAAGTGCTGGCAATAAAAATTGAAAAGCAAAACCAGTTCTTTCTCTCAAAGACCTCATATTGTAATTAGAGAAAACAACACATAGCAGAGTTCCACTATAGGGTGAATAGAAATGCCTAGCAGCCCTTACCATGCATTGCAGAGTGGATAGAAGTCAAAGCCCAACACTTCTTAGAATGCAAAAAAGACATTGCTTATTTATCACTCCTCTAACTGGGTAAAGTGGATAGAGTGGTAAACTTAAGCCAGGAAGACTCATCATCTTGAGTTCAAATACAGCCTCAGACACTTGCTAGCTGTGTGATATTGAGTAAGTCACTTAACCCTGTTTGCCTCAGTTTCTTCATCTGTAAAATGGGCTGGAGCAGGAAACAGAAAACCACTCCAGTATCTTTGCTAAGAAAACCCCAAAGGGAGTCACGAAGAGTCTGAAATGACTGGACAACAATAACAACAAAAGCATAAATTAAATCATTACCCTTTCTGATTCTTTTCCTTAAAAGCTGTTATCAGCTCTCCCTAATTTTCCTGATACCCTCTTAAAATTTTCAAAGTTTAGTTTTATATTTTTTTTTTGTAGAAAAAAGGGGACTTCCATAAAATGTCCAATATGATTTAAAGAGGAGGTATTTCTTCAAAGTTCTGTTTTGTATGAGAATATCAATTAACTATTGACTTATATCCTAAATTTCCTACTTCTCCCCAATTTTATAAGGATAGTTTATATATGCATCAAAAGTATCCTTGATCATGATACGGGAAGGAAATGACAAGGTGCCACAAATATCATACTCTAACACACATTTTTACAGTCAGACAACTAACTAGAAATTGTAGAGATTACAAGATCCCACTGTGCTTATTTGCTGATTATTTTAAAAGCAAAAAGAAAGCAAAGAGGGTCACTGGCATATTTAAAAATGTACCAAAGAGAACAGAAGTAAGTTCAGAAGGAAACAGAAAAGCAGGACAGCTTTGAAATAACATTGAATTTAGTATTAAAAAGTAAGTTGTACAAAATGGTCACAGTTTCACATATAATTCTCTCTTTTTCTATTCCAATTTATATGTGGAAATGTTCTCCTGTGATATTTGTTAAATCTGTGGTATTTGTTAAATTCAAAGGCAAAAAAATTTAAAAATATTTGATTCAGCAGAGGGAAATACTTCCTTAAAGCTTTTGTTCAACAAGGCATCTCATTCAAAAGTCAGAATTATCCGAGAATTTTGAAAAGAAAACAACAGAGATAACATTGTTCAATGGCAATCTGATATTAATATCAAACAGGGAAAACAACAGAGAAACATAAGCCCTCAAAATGGGGGTTTGCCACCAACGTGGAGGATGATCATCATTGAGTCCAAGTAAGAGAGATATAAATGAAGTATTCCTGTTTTCAAAGGTATTGTGCTGATCACAGCAAGCCCTGGAACACTTCAGAGCCTCACGAATTAGAAGCATAATCCCATATGAGAATTAGCATAATCCCATATGAGAATTTGGCCTACCCATCCGCTATCCATACAAAAAAAAGCAAATGGTTAAAGAATATCTATTGTCCAGAATATGATATGCAGTTGAACAGACAATCTATAGAACTCTCTTCTTTCAGTTCATATATCTGGGACAAAACCTACAAATGAATAATGAACTGAGTTCAGAATTGAGCAGAAGGAGGAGTATAGGCTGGATTGCCTTTGAGAAAGTGGGCAGTAATTTAATGATTCTAAACTACTCCCTGAAACAAACATTGTTAATATGGATCTTCTGATGATGCATCATGGAATACCAGAGTCTCTAAAGAACTGAAGCTGAGCATTACCTAAAGAGCAATGGAGAGACATGTTGTAGGCATGAGCTAACACACATTACAAATGAGGAATTTCCTAGAAGTTTCATAAAGTATGTCAATAGAGTATCATCAGCATGATCAGAAAAGCAGAATGGACAGTCCATGTGCTTCGTTGGTAGTCATGCAATGTCAAGGATTTATAGGAGTGTGTGGACAAGAGGTGCATGGGATGGGCTGCAATCCGTATTACTCAAGGGCCTATCCACATTGGTAAAATCACATATCCCTCAAAGTCTATGATTGTAGGAGCCCACAACATTGGAACTGTGCTTACCAATTCTTTGGTCATGCCCACAACATCATCAACTCCAAATAAACATGACTGTCATGTGACCAGAGTGCTATAACGCTGTTTGATTTTCACATGAGCAGGGGCAGCATGGGAGAAGTGGATTATTGGTGTTTATTAGGCTAGGACTGACTATTCTGAGGATCCTATACAGTAGGTACACAGCACATGCTTAGTGACTGCCAGTCAGAGTGAGATTTGAGACAACTTAGCTGACCAAACCTCAAGCTTTGTGCCCAGACATTTGTTTTAAAAACTCAGGCTCTAAGCTCTAACTTTGTCAAGAGACACAGACTAGAAAAATGATCAACATCTTTTACCAGACATAAAAATTTCACTGAAGGGTGGTGGATCCTAACTTACACTATTCTGTCCCTTCAAGGTTCCTCAGTGATGGAAATGCTTTATACTAGTGATTTCCCTAAAAGTTACTTGCAAAATAGCATCACTGTTAGCAGAAATAGATTTAAATGATGCTTCAAAGGATGTTATTTTAATAGGGGAAAATATTTAACCTATACAAAAATACCCTTAATTTCTTAATGGAAAAACTGAAAACAACAACCATCTGCAAATATTGGGGGAAAGCTAAATAACTTGCGGTATATTAATGTGATGGAATATTATTGTGCCATAAAAATAATACATATGAAGAGTACAAATATGGAAATACTTCAATGATGCACAAAGATGGCAGAATGAGAACAGTTTATATATTGACTACCACTATATAAAAAAGCAACAAAATTATTTCAAGATTATTGATATATTTTGCTTTTACACAACAGATACTTCTCAAAACTGACTAGGCAGGACAGCAATTGCCTGCAATCTCTGTTACTGGGGAGACTGTGGCTGGTGTATCTCTTGAGCTTTGGAATTCTGAATTGCAGTGGGCTAAGCCTAAGTAGGTAGGTGGGAGTGCCAGGCCTGGAGTCAGGAAGACTCATCTTCCTGGGTTCACATCTGACCTCAGACACTTACTGGCTGTGTGACTTTGGGCAGTCAGTTAACCCTGTTTGCCTCAGTTTCCTCATCTGTAAGATGAGCTGGAGAAGGAAATGGAAAATCACTCCAGTATCTTTGCCAGGAAGACCCTAAATGGGGTCATGGACCTCATGGAGTCTGACACAACTGAAAAATGACTGAACAACAGCTGAATTGGGTTGCTCCCCTTGCCTTATCTCTTACTAATCCAGTCCATTCTGCATTCAGCTATCAAAGTAATCCTTCTAAAGCACAGGTCTTAACTAGTCACCCTCCTATTCAATGAAATACTTTCAGGACAAAATACAGAATCCTTTATTTGGCTTCATTACCTAGACACTTCTTACCTTTACAATGTCTTCACACTTTACTCACCTCCATGAACTTTATGATCTAGTGACAGTGGCCTCCTTGCTGTTCTTCGCACAAGACTTCATCTCCAGACTGCCCTCTCTCCCTCTTCATTTCTGCCTCTTATTTTCCCTTGCTTCTTTCAGGTCTCAGCTAAAATTTTACCTGCTGCAAGATGCCTTTTCTGATCCCCTAATGCTAATTATTTCTTTCTGAGATTAACTCAGATTTGATATATGCATACCTATATATCTCACATATGCACACACATATATACATTATATATGTGTCATCTATCTATCTATCTATCTATCTATCTATCTATCTATCTATCTATCCATCTATCTGTCTTGTTTGTAGTGGTCACTTGCATGTTGTCTCCCTCTATTAGACTGTGAGACCTTGAAGACCTTCCTTCTTTGCCTTTCTTTGTATCTTCAGTGCTTAGCACAATGCCTGGCACACAGAAAGTGCTTAAAAAAACTTGTTGACTGTGATGTTGTAGTTACAAATATTGTGGTTACATTGTCATTGCCAGAGAAAATGTTTGTTATAGAAATCTTGACAGATTTTTTTTTTTTTTGCATTTTTCATCTGTTTGTTTTCCACCTTCTTGTTTTATCCTTAAATGCTCTCAGGATGTTCTTGCTCAGCTGAGTCTCTCACTAAGCTTTCTATAAACTCCTATTTTCTTCATACCTTCTTTCTGTTTATGGGAAGACTTTGCTCGTAATCTTTCACTATCCTCTTCTATAAGATTTTGCAAATGAATTTTAATTTTTAACTTGTATTGTCCTTGACTGCCAAATCACTCCACTTGGCAAGGGGATCAGGTCAGTCAGTCAACAAATATTTATTAAGCACTTATTCCATGCCAGACACTCTGCTAAGCACTAGGAATACAAATACAAGCAGAAAGAAAGAAAATTCTTACACCTCCAGGAGCATATATTCTAATGGATATGGCGGTATGGTAGAGAAAGTCTCAACTACAGCCTGGAGAGGAATGAGACATAGCTGACCTGGACACTTTCTTTAAATGGAGGTTCTGGAAGGAATCATTCATTCAGAGGGATAGGCCAAAAGGGGCAGGGTTGGAGTGAGCTTCTAGGATGAAAAGTTTTCTGGAGTGCAGTCTGGAGAGGATCAAGTATTTGCTGGCTGAAACAAAGTTTCTAGGCTCTTCTGGCCTTGTGATAACTGTTTTATATATATATATTTTACTTTCTTTGGAAATGGTAATAGTCTACATTGATATGTATTTCTTTATCCATTTCTCATTTTTCTGCATCAATAGTTTGTCTTAGGTCAAATTAGAGCTGTTTTTATTGCATGTTATAGCTTCTTATTTGATTTGTTTGATCTTTTCTCTAACAGGTCAAAGAGAAATTATCCTCACATCAATGACCAGTTATTTCCTGCCTGTTAAGATAAAATAACTTTTGTTTTTTATGATATTATTAAGTGTTCACCACAAGACCCTAAGGAGATAAGAAAAATGAGCATGCAAAATGAAGAATCTAACCATATGTACATTTTAAACTTATATTTCTTAAAAATGATATCATTTGTTAAAAATTATTATTGAAAAATTATGCAACTAATTAAATCTACTTTGCAAGTACTTATATTTAATTAATTCATTTCATTGTATAAAATGTCTTAGTGACTTTTAAATTATTCTCTCTATAATGACCCCAGGAGCCTTCTCACTCTGATAACCTGGAAATCTCAAAATCCTTGAATCATCCAGAGTAAGATCCATAGTAATGACCCAAAACTCCTTTTTTTATTACCTGGAGTTTGAATATCAGCTAGCTGCCAATTTCCAAGGAGTCTTCTGTTCCTTCAAAAGCATAAATCAGCAACAGTCCCTGCGGTTGGGAATCTTGTTCTCTTTCCCTAATGCCTAGTCTTGCTAGATTTGGATAAGAACCCTCACCCCTCAAAAGAAAGCCCCACCAGATTTTACTGATTTGAGGGACAAGGTGCCCATTTCCTCTATGGCTGCAGTGGGTTACCTGACACTATTTAGGATCCCAGCATACTTCACTTTGCCTGCTCTCTCTGCCAGTCCATCCATTTTGTGATTATCTCCTCTCAATAAAACTGGCTTGAGGTAGTGTCTTACTGTGAGCTCCATGTTTCATAGTATTGAGATTTTAGTCTTCTGAACTTTCCCAAGTCTGTGTTAAGACAGCATCCAAGACTGATCAAGAGCCTCAGTCCACTTATTCTAATTTCCTCATATATGGTTTAATTATTGTCTTTCAGTTTATAGTTGTATTTCCAGTGCTTAGCACAGTGCCTGGCTCGCAGTAAAAGCTTATTAAGAGCTTGTTGACTGACATATAGCTAGTAAGTGTCTGAGGCAAAATTTGAACTCCTCTTCTCGACACCACTATCTCCTGAATGGGCTGTGTGCGTCAATTTGCTCTTTTGTGACTTCACTCACTATCCCAGTATTTTGAGGACCAAAGTGCCCCTCCCTAGATACCATTGTCCTATGTGTTGTTTTTCCCATTAGAACGTAAGCTTGTGAAGGCAGATACTATACTTGCTTTTACATTTATACCTCCAGTGTGTAACATACAGTAAGCACTTGATAAATGCTTATTGTATTCATATACTCATATCATATGAAATGTTAATGAGAATACATTCATTTATAGGACTTGGTAAGTAATATGGAATTTTGATGCATGGTTGAGAAAAGTAACGTAGTTAAATAGCACCAGTTCTAGCGTTGGAGACAGGAAAGACCTGGTTGGGTTCACATCTTTCTTTCTCACAGCACACACACACACACACACACACACACACACACAAATACTTTATCCCTCACACAGGGAGTGGATTAACACTCTCTCTTCAGCTTGTATTTACCCTGGCAAGTCTAGATTATTAGAGATAGACCACCACTACACAGTTATATTCAAGCTCTCTCAGGTTGCTAGGGGTGACCCCAGTGATGGGAAATGTTATTTTTGTACTTATCACTCCAGTTCTTGAATTCCATGCACTGTGTTTTTTATCTACTAAACCTGCTATTCATGAGGTAATACATCTTCAGTGTGTGATATTTATATAACTAGTAACAACAGCAACAAAAATAATAATAACAAGCAAACCTTTATTAAGTGTTTACTATGCGGCACATGTTGTGATAAGTTTTGGAAGTATAAATGTAAGCAGAAAAAGAGACAATTATCACAACTATATAAAGGGAAAAGTGAATGAAGATGTACCTCATGAAAGAGTCCCTGCCCTCAGTGATCTTACATTCTAACAGGGGAAGACAGTGCTTAGTTGGTTGTTGTCCTTCTTTCTCAAAGAGGACCAAAATAACATCAGTATGTTGGGGTCGAGGCACAGCATGTCTGACTATGGCTGATCAGACCAATATGAAGTTGGAAGGCTCTACCACAGGTTGGGCACAAGTAGTCCATATGAACATTTGGAGTGGAGATATCTCTTAATTCACATATCTCATGTTTCTTTTGAGCTACTGCAATTCTGCTTTGCTCATAGAGTACAGTGCCTTCTTTGATATGGGTGTGCCATGCTGGGTGGTTCTTTGCCAGCATCTCCCATGTCATGTAATGGATTCCAAAGTTCTTTAGAGAGACCTTAAAAGGGTCCTTTTATCACTTCTTCTCACCACCTTATGTGAGTTCTCCATAAAATAGTCTTTTACGCAAATGTATGTTTGGCATTCGAACAACGTGACCAGCACAATGGAGTTGCGCTCTCTGCGGTAGAGTTTGAATGCTTGGCAGTTTAGTTTGAGAAAGGACCTCAGTGTCTGGTATTTTATCCTGCCAGGTGATCTTTAGAACCTTCCTAAGACAATTTAAATGGAAGCAATTCAGTTTCTTGGCATGGCACTGGTATACTGTCCAGGTTTCACAGAGCACAATGGCTCTGTAGTCCTTCAGTTTGGTAGTCAGTCTAATGTCCCTTCTCTCCCACATTTTCCTTTGGAGCCTCCCAAACACTGAGCTAGCCCTGGCAACCTTATTATCAATGTGTACATCCCTGGAAAGTACACTACCAAGGTAAGTGAATTTGTAATTGAATAAGCATTCAAAACTTCTCCATTTGTTGTCACTGATGGTGCCATGTATAGGATGGAGCATCTGTGTTTTCTTGGTGTTAATTGTGAGGCCAAAATTAGCACAAGCAGCAGAGAACCGATCCATACTTGTTGCATCTCAGTTCAGAGGCTGTATTGAGTGTACAATCATCTACAAACAAAAAATAATGCACCAACTCTCCTTCCACTTTAGTCTTAGCTTGTAACCTTTTCAAGTTAAATAATTTACCATCAGTGTGGTAGCTGACCTTGATGCCATGTTCGTCCTCATTGAAGATATCTGAAAACATTGCTAAAAACATCATGCTAAAAAGCATTGGAGCAAGCACACAACCTTGCTTCACTCCATTGGTGACTGGGAAAGTGCAAGAACATTGTTCTTATCCAGAACCTGGGCAAGCATGTCATCATGAAATTGATGTAAAATACTGATGAACTTCTCTGGGTAACCAGATTTTGACATCATTTTCCATAAGCCCTCATGACTAACAGTATCAAAGGCCTTGGTCAGATTGACGAATGTGGTGTACAGATGTCTGCTCTGTGTGGTCAGTCTTCTTACTAGTTTCTATCCTTACCCATTGCAGAGGGAAAGACCTCTAGTATACCCCTGGCTGACAAGACACATATAATTTATGCTCAATCACAAGATGGCAGGTAAGGGACCACCTTTCATTGAGAAGGCTCCCTTTTGCTACCATATCTGCTGATCTCTGGCCTTACAAAGGCTTACCCAGGGAGCAGGAACATAGTTACCAACACCAGAGTGGGTTATGGTGGGTATAATCTTGATGTCCTTTCACCCACTGCCCTCACCCCAGGGAATGGTCTAGACTGTTCTTAATTGGGGCAGCTAGGTGGCAAAATGGTTAGAGTGCCTGGCCTGAAAGCAGGAAGACATCTTGCTTTAGACCCTGGGCAAGTCCCTTAACCCTGTTTGCCTCAGTTTTCTCATCTGTAAAATGAGCTGGAGAAGGAAACAGCTTTGCCAAGAAAACTCGAAATTCCCAGTGCAGAGCTTAACAAAGCCTTCTGATTTCTCCCTAATTATCTCCCTCAAGTCCTAAAGAAGCCATTGGCATGATTAAAATTACCCTAGGCCACAAGTAAGTAATTACAAACCACAAGTAAGATAAAGGAGGTGGGTGGAGTCAGGAAAGTTGTGACTATATCTCAAGGCACTCCAATATTTGAAGTAGGCAGATTAACAACTAATATTCCCTTTACCTGCAGCAGTTTTCTATCCAAGCAAAACATTTCTTAACCTGAAAATTATACTTCTCCTGAAACAGTATTTTAGGAAATTCCCAGTCATTCTTCACTTTACTTTCTTCTCCCTGAACACAAAGACCACAGCTTTCTTGACAACTCTCAGGCTGCCTACACCAGAGACCAAACCCCACTGGAGAACTTCCTGTCTGGTCCTTGCCCCCTTCTGATTGGTGCTTGCCTTTCTTAGAACCTGATTTCAGGAAAGTCTCAACCATCCTTCATGTCTCTCCTTCCTCTCTCTATGTAGCTATTGTGCTTAAAAGTTTGCAAAGCACCTTACATACGTTATTTTTATTTGGTCCTCACAACAACTCTATGAGGTAAGTGCTATCATTATCCTCACTTTACAGATGAAATTGATTCAATTCAATAAACATTTATCAAGCTCCTATTATGTGCCAGGCACTGTGCTAAGTGCTAGGGCTACAAAAAGAGTCAAAAGACACTCTCTGCCCTCAAGGAGCTTACAATCTAATAGGGGAGACAACATGCAAATAAATATGTACAAACAAGCTATATACAGTATAAATAGGAAATAATTAAAAGAAGGAGAGCACTGGAACTAAGAGGATTAGGGAAGGCTTTCTGTAGAAGATGGGATTTTAGTTGGGACTTAAAGGAAACCAGAGAGGTCAGTAGTCAAAACTAAGGAAGGAGAGCAATCTAGGCATGGGGGATAGCCAGGGTGCCCAGAACTGTGAAATTAAGTTTCTTGTTCAAGGAATAGCCAGGAAACCAGTGTGGCTGGAGTAAGGAATATGAGTTGGGGAGTAGGGCGTAAGAAGACTGAAAAGGTAGGAGGGGGCTAGGTTATGAAATATTTTGAATGCCAATGGAGCTTTTTGTAATTGCTCCTGGAGGCAATAGGAAGCCATTGGAGTTTATTGAGAAGGGGAGGTGACTTGGTTGGACCTGTGGTCACTTCAGTGGCTAAATGGAGAGTGGATTGAAGTGGGGAGAGACTTGAGGCAGACCCACCAGCAGGTTGAGAGGGGTTAAGTGATTTGCCCAGGGTCACAAAGGGATGGTCTTAATCCCTCTCTAGGCTACATTGATGATTCATTTCCATAGGACTTTCTCTACAAGGCCTCTTTATCCTGGAAGCTCACTGCACCCCAGGACTACTTCTCATATTAGAAATATCCTGTATATGTATGTATATATCTTTGTATGTATATATGTATATTTGCATATATTATATACATATATGTATAGGCACATATATGTGTATATATGTATGTATATATGTGTATATG